CCTAAGAATATTCAGATCCTCTTTGTATCGTGAGAGAAAAGATAGAAAAAGATCTCAAGAAAAGGTATATTTTGTATGTCAAAGATAAAGCAAGAATCTTCAGAGAATGACAATGTGTTACTTTTTAGAACGAGTGTCCAATCCCTTCTACAATCCTCTCTGTCTCTCTTTCTATTATATGGGCATATGGGCCACAAATACCCTAATAGTACAGATGGGAGGAATATTCCCTAGAATATGCTCTGTAAGGTCTTATTTCTAAAACTAGCCGTTACTGCTCTGCTGAAGGGAGTACTCGTCCTCGTCCTTATCCTTTGTCGAGTCTACTCGACCTCGCCTTCGTCCTCTGTTAGGTCAATTCGACCTCGCCTTCGTCCTCTGTTGAAATCAAATCGATGAAGCGTGGCAGTCTTCGAAGGCTTTCTTAATGTTGACTTGGCCCACATATAATTATGATAACTTTTAGCCCATACAGCGGCGACATAATGTATATATATGCATAATCTTTAAAAATATTGCTACTATCTACACATATAACATGAATTTTTCTTACGAAGCAGTATCATGACAAATTTTACTAAAGGATGTCTCCACGACTGCTCACTCATAAAACAAAGAAAAAATTAAAAATAAAGGCCGTAGCTAGGACACATATGTCACACCTCCTTTTTACACACCTACCCCGAAGGATAATGTATAAGGGAGTTTTTCCATTAAAAGTGACATTATTCGAAATGAGATTATTTATTTAGTTTTAGAGTCGCCACTTGGGAAAGGATTGGCTTTTGGTGTCCCAAGTCACCGGTTTAACTTAAATCCCAAATCGAGGAAAATTGTCGACTTCCCAATTGGAGTCTGCGAACCAGAAATTCTAAGTAAGGAATTCTGTTGACCCGAGGGAAGGTGTTAGGCACCCCCGGATCCCGTGGTTCTAGCACGGTCGCTTAAACTATTATAATTGGCTAAAAATCTAATTTCTGCATGTTCCAACCTATAGTGCAAGTTTAAGATTATTTACCGCTTTTTAGTTAATTTTTAAAGAAAGTGAACGTCGTTTAAGAACGTGTTTTTGGATCACGTCACATGAAATGCACGCGGATCCTCGACATATTCTTATTCAACGTTTTGGGATTTGGATTTGGGTTGCATGAAATGCACACCCGTATTTAAGAAGGTAAAATTATTAAAAGCGCACCTAAAGCGACTAACGTGTTATTATCTTTGCGGGAGGCCGTGAAATTCGCTAAACGGCACGTCCCGAGGTCTAAGTAATTTTAATAGGAACATTTAAAGAGGGCCACGCAAGTTATACATTTTGTTTGGCGAGGCTCATCTCCCTTTTTATTATTTAAAGGCCAACCTAAAGCAAACTAAAATTTTCTATTTCTTTTGTCTCTAAAAGGGCCTAATTAATTAGCATTTGGGCCTCAAGTTCAAGTCCACACTTAAACAAGAGGGAGGCCTCTTAATTCAAGTGTGCTACTTAACTTGGAAGGCTCAAATTGTTTTGTAGAATTTAACCAATAATTTAAGAACAAAGTTTCAAATTCTCCAGTAGATTGGGCCTAAAAATTGGCCCAGACATGAGGCAGTTCGGTCACATGGCTGGGCAGATCATTTCCATGAAATAGTCAAGCTTTGGTCTCAAAATGAGCCCAATCAAAAATGAGGCAAGAAGTTCAGGTGAATCTTCAGCTGAGTATACGTTGGGCCTATTTTTATAGTCCAAATAATCAACGAGCCAAAGCTAAACCAATGCTAACATAGAAATGAAATTTGAGGGCCTGACGAACTTATTCACCTTTTAACATATAAACAGTGATTCTCATATTCACATATCAATTAATGCTCAATTTATGTATTAGCACATGATCTAAAATTCTGATGGCCCTTTAGATTTAATTCATGTACTCTTAAAACAACTCAATTATAGACTAAAAAAGATGAAAGTCGACACCGGAATTCTTATCCTGTTCCTGAATCAATTTTAAACAAACATAGCCTAAACTGACGATCATATATTACTTTGGATTCTACTCTCAAGCAATTAACCTAATAGCCTAAACTGAAATTAACTACAGCTAGTACTCTACTCATAATGCTTATATGAGTCTGAAGAATAATGTTTCATACAGTCCAATTAATACAAGAATAGATAAAAGTCTAAACAACACTATCAAACTAAATGTCTAAATACACAGATCAGAACAGATTCATGCGAGGCACAAGGATGTATTCCCAAATTTCCCTTCAAACGCATTGGTACATATAGATCTAATCTTCATACAGCATTTGAAGTTAGAAAAGTACCTGAAAATGAAGAAATGTAAGAGGAAGAAGGAGTCAGCAGTGGCAAGCAAACAATCGACAGTTGAAACCAATAACACAGGAGTGATTTTGGACTCCAAACATCATCACAACAGCCCAGGAAGGAATGACAGAGGAGTAAGACCAACGAAATAACCAAAACAAACTTGATTGAACCCAAACTGACTCGAAATTAAACCAAGGAACACGTCTGAAACTTCAGTAGCCAGAAATATATCCTTGTCTAAGCTAGAAGCTTGAACTAACAACTGAAACTCGAAATTAGTCTAAGGAAAACTTCAATGGAATAGTATTTTTTGGAGTTTTTGTGTTATTTTTTTTGGGTTTTTTTGTGTGGAGGTTTTTAGATCTAAAAGGAACTCTCACTCTCAGATTTCGAACTCTTTGTTTTTTTTTGAAATTTGAATTCTAAATTTTCAGCTTTTCCAAAACTTGTAAGAAACTGATTTGAATTTTTTTTGAATTTTGAATTTTGGGGATCTCTCCAACTTCATCTGCAAGGCAGGGGAGACTGCCTTTTATAGGCAAGAATTAGGGGCTCTTTCAGATTTTTACTTTGCCTTTAGGTCCCTCATTTTGTGACTTCTTTACCAAGCTAACATCTGAAACATTAAACAAAGGCCCTTGCTAGAAACTTCTAGGGATTTCTATTTTAGTTACTGCAGGGTTCTTTCTCTGAGAAATGCCTATACTACCCTTAATTCGTTCATGAATTACAAACCTAAGCTAAACCAAACCCAATTCCATCCACACCAAACCCTTTAACTTGGTCAAATGCTGACTATGACTAATTTCAAAGGATCTGAATTATTCAGTAACAATCAAAACTTTCAATTACAACTCGACCCCAAAGATTTACCACAAATCCAAACAATCCTAAATTACGGCTTGAATCAACTACTGAAAAGCGGAAACAACAATTACTATTGGCCATTTTAACAGTCGACAGGAAATTATGACAACAAACAAAAATTAATCAACAAACAGATTATGAATTAAAACTGACTTAATACAAACAAACCTAAATCACTGGAAGACTTAAACAAAAGAAATCTAGAATGATGCAAAAATTAAAGTCTACAGAAACGTATGTGAATGGATTAACAGAAAAACAAAGTTTAAGCTAATTTTAAGAGCAAGGGATTCAAATAATAAAAGAAAAAGAAATAGGAAAACTTACTTATGTAAGATTGAACAAAGGCCGGACTTCGATTCGAGTCTCGAAATGATGTTAAACGTCTGTTCTTTGTCAATAACAAACGAAAACCATTATTTCGTGACTTGAATCCAACATTGGATCCACGAAATTGGAGAAGGAATCCATAATTTTAACTTCTAGGGTTCTGCTTATTTTAGATTTAAAATTCGAGCACTTCCAGTGAGATTTGGAGGGAACCAGTCATGGGTTTAGGAAGAGGGGGGTGAGGAGAGTATATGGTGTGAATTTGGCAGGGTTTGGGTGACGGCGCCGCCATGCACGGTGGCGGCGGTGCCTAGGGTTTTATATATTTGGGAATTTTGGTTGGGATTTGGAAGAAAATAATGAAGGATATGGGATGGGGAGATGAAGGAGATGTCATGGTGAAATTTTGGGCGTGATTGGAGCCGGTGGCGGACGGCGGAGTGAGGCGGAGACACGGTGGTGGCAGTCGAAGACGGGAGGGGGTACGAGGAGGATGACATTTGGTCGCTAGGGTTTGAGATTTCTTAAGACACTTTTATCTAACAATTAAATCAACTGGGGCCGTTGGATTAGAGAAGATCAATGGCCAGGATTTACGGACGAGAAACGACGTCGTTTTGTTCTTTTAAAGGGTTGGACCGGATCAGGGGTATGGTTGGGCCATTCTGGACGGGGTTTTTTTGTTGTTGTTGATTTTTGGTTTGGGCTACACGAAATTGGCCCAAACATTTTTGCCAACCCTTGCTTTTATTTCATTTTCTTTTATTTGTTTTCTTTTTTTCTTTTTTTGTACTTTATTTATTTATTTTTTCTGAATTTTCTGATTTTATTAAAATCAAAAATTAAAGACCCAATATTAAATCTAAGATTACACTAATCAATTTTCAACATTAACTAATTCTTAAACCAAACAAATGTAAAAGATGTTATTTTTTCTCTTATTTTAGCAATATTAATTAACTAGTAAGAAAAAATATAAAAATCGAATTCTAAATGCAAACGTAATATTTTTGTACTTTTTTTTATGAATTATAGCAACTAAAAATGCACACAAAAATGCAAACAAGACACAAAATCATGCAATTAATTCCTAAAATTTCAAATAATAAAAGAAAAATTCTAATTCTAATGAATTTATAGGAGTAAATTAAGCGTGGCAAAAATCACGTGCTCACAACATATTTTGCGATTGACATGATAAGATTCCACTAGAAGACTGATATAGTAGAGGTTAAACCTTTGCACCACAGAAGAAGTTGACAAATTAAGTGGCTGTTTACTTTCAACTGCTAACTTATGAGAAGCTTCTATATATGCGGTCGATCCTCTTAAATACCATATGATAAAGAAGCACTTTATTTCAACGCGCTTTGACTTTAAGAAACCCTTGTAGTTAGGTAACAATAAGCATCAGACTTGTCTTACCAATTGTCACTACTTTTACTAGTTCTTTTTGTACTATATAAATACAAGAGTTTTCCTCATTTTTTATATCTCAGTCTTCAGCTGCCACATACTTTTTATTTATTTATTCAAATCAGGTTTAAATGGCAGTAGAAGGGGAACAACAACTTCAGACTAACGGACATGCAAAGCAAGCTGAAGAATCAGCCAACTCCATACAATCCAAAGAGCTGCGCAAAAAGAAACGCAAGAAATTCTTAATTTTTGTTGCACTCTCTATTCTGTTTCAAATTGCAATCACTCTCTTCTCTTCATTGTACATAATGAAAGTCAGAACTCCTAAGTTTCGCATCCGGTCAGTTACCTTTGATGTGTTGTCGAAAAATGCAGAAAATTCTTCATTCAACATTACAATGAATGCTGAATTTGGTGTCAAGAACACCAATTTTGGACCTTACAAGTACAGAGACAGCACTGTTTATATTTTCTATAATGGTGTGAATATTGGAGAAGCCTTTGTTTCCCATGGCAAAGCTGGTTTTAAGTCAACCAAGAAATTTAATGTTGTTGTGAATCTGTCATCGAAGGATGTATTAACTAAGGACTCGAAGCTAAGGAATGATCTGAATTCTGAAACTTTAATTTTGACCAGCAAGTCAAAATTAGAGGGGAAAGTGGCGCTAATTTTTGTTTTGAAGAAAAAGAAATCTACGGAGATGGATTGCACCATTACTGTAGGACTGGCTGATAAAGTGATTAGGGATATAGACTGCAACTAGGGAGTTAATTCAATTCCTTACTTAAATATTTGTAATTTTTTATTTTATTTAGTAGTGTCTTTTAATTGGATGAGTTCGATTTGATATATCTATAAACCAGAGAATTAGACACCACTAGTTTCGCAGTGTACAGTCGTACTACAAGCTGGTCTGGTGGTGCCTGCAGAAGAGGGTTAATATGTAAATATAGTAATCAGTTGGTTAAAAATAATAACCAAGCCTCGCATTTACATTAAGCTCCTCCATAAGTAACATTTGATGTAAAAGAAAAAGAAATATTTCCAAAGAGCACCAAGAAGTTGAGAAAATATAATTGTTTAGCTCAAAAATTATATTCGTATTTTATAAGCTTAAAAACAATCGAAAATATACAGGGGTAAATCGTAATCAAATATAATAAGCCCAAGAGATGATTATTGCTTCAAGAATGTTTGTAGATCTGTAAGTGCGTAGTGAAATAGACTTAGCTTAAGAGGGAAGCAATGGTTGGAAAATCAAGAAAGAGATAAGAGAGAGAGATAGAGAGAGAAATTGTATTATCCGAGAATCACCCTCCCCCTATTACAATGTGGAGGTCTCCTTTATATAGTAGGAGACCTCCCTCGAAATAATCAAAAAAGGTACAAAAGTTGGTGGCTTCTACTCAGTAAAAAGGTCAGACATTAAACGACGTCACTTCTTCTTCACCAACTTGGGCCGTGCCCTCACTCGGGTCGCCCTTATTATAAGGGACGTGCCCATTTGGCGTGGGGGCGTTATGAGCCAAATTTAACCCTATACAGTTAGTCCCTCCGTTCGTTGGAGACGTACTCGATGACCGTCTTCAATGGACGGACATGCACGATTTGCTTTTTACGGAAATTTGGCCGCGCCCATAGGCGCCTCTTTCGAAGAGCGTGAGCGTGGATAATATTTATTGGGCCGTTGACATGCGACCCCCNGTAGAGGCTCAATTACTGAAGAAAAGAAAAATGAAATCAAAAGGCTCTAAAGAGTTAAAGATTATCAAACATGCAGAATCGGAACTTACCAATTTTGGGCACTCGATTGACTATGGAGCGCATTCTGACCAGCTTGTTGTGAATCCTCCGGGACTCTTGACACGTAACATCCCTAATCGTGTGTTTTCCAAAAGAACACACATGATTAGGGAAGTTATGGTCGAAAATCCCCAAGATTTTCTAATTTAGGGTTCTGCCGGATTTTGATCGGATAATTGGGCAATTCTGGCAATATTTAGGACATGTGGCTATGGGGGTTGGATAGAGGAGGTCAAGGCGGTCCCATGGTGTTAATTTGGGATCGTTTGGCATAACCGGCGACTTGGCCGGAAAACTTCGAACGGATATTCGACGAGTTCCAGTGATATTTGAAAGCAAAGGCCAGTGGATTTGGGTAGAGGAGGAGAAGGGGAATCTGGGGTGTAATTTTGGGGTTGATCGGAGCATCGCCGCCGCCGGCGACGATTTCCGGCCGGCGGCGGATGGCGGAGGAACGGTGGCAGATGGTGGGGTTAGGGCGGAGGACGCCGGCGTTACAGGGGAGGTACGAGGAAGATAAAACAATGTTTTAGATTTTTAGGTTAATTTCGGACAGTTTTATGGGATGGTTTTGGGTTTATGAGGGCCGTAGGATCATGGGGACTGGACGGGCGAGATTGAGTGATGCCAAACGGCGTCGTTTTGCCATGGGGAGGGGACTGGACTGGGTTGACGATTTGGGCTGGTCTGGCAAAGACTTGGGGCATTGGGCTGGGATTAATTTTGACAGTGGCCCAATCTTGGTGGCCTGATTAAGCTTAATGTCAATTTATTTTATTTCTTTTGATTTTTGTTCATTTATTTATTTTTTGAAATTTGTTAAATGCAAAATTAAAAGTAAAACCCCAAATTAATTCCAGAATTACACTAACTCCTAATTCAAAAGTAAAATAAGACAAATTAAAAGTATAAATGCGAAAGAACAATTTTGTTATTTTCTTCTTTACTAATTAATTCTAAAATGTGAAATTAGAACCTAAAACAAATGCGGAATGTATTTTTATATCTTCCAGATGAATTAAAATGCACAAATAAAAATGCAACAATTACCAAAGAACGCCACAAAATTCACAAGAATTTATAAAATACTAGAAAAATTGTTTTGTTTGTAATTTGGGAATTACTGCTTAGGGCAAAAATCACGTGCTCACAACCGCGGAGCGCCTTGTTTTCATTTTCCATTTCTTCCATCTTCTTTAGGATGGCTGTTAGCGTGCCATCGTTGGTTTGTGTCTCGATGGGTTTGTTATTTACTAGTGCAACTTCCGGTTCACCCACGGCAGCAGTGGTACCTACCGTTGGTGTACACCCGATGTTACTTTGTGGTGACCTCTCAACCAAGCCACTTAGACTGCTTGTTAGCCATCTTTCCAGTAGCTTCTTGAGCGCTGAGGGTGCTTCCGTAGCCGCAGATGTAGAAGCTCCTTTTTCGTGCAAGATCGTCAGACCTTCGGATGGGGAAGGTGAGATCTCTGCACCTGGTGTGATGCTAGGGGTTGCATTCAGGATGCATCGTCACTGGCCTCGTTGAGAGGGCCAAGGAGATTGGTAGTGACACCCAATATAGCTTTCGATCTTGTGTTATTTTCGGCCATTTTCTATTTTTGTGTGGTGTAGAGAGTGGTAGTTGGTTGATCTCTAGGTGGATACTATGGTTTTGATTCTCGAAATCCCCACAGACAGCGCCAAATTATTTAGCTCAAAAATTATATTCGTATTTTATAAGCTTAAAAACAATCGAAAATATACAGGGGTAAATCGTAATCAAATATAATAAGCCCAAGAGATGATTATTGCTTCAAGAATGTTTGTAGATCTGTAAGTGCGTAGTGAAATAGACTTAGCTTAAGAGGGAAGCAATGGTTGGAAAATCAAGAAAGAGATAAGAGAGAGAGATAGAGAGAGAAATTGTATTATCCGAGAATCACCCTCCCCCTATTACAATGTGGAGGTCTCCTTTATATAGTAGGAGTCCTCCTCGAAATAATCAAAAAAGGTACAAAAGTTGGTGGCTTTTACTCAGTAAAAAGGTCAGACATTAAACGACGTCACTTCTTCTTCACCAATTTGGGTCGTGCCCTCACTCGGGTCGCCCTTATTATAAGGGACGTGCCCATTTGGCGTGGGGGCGTTATGAGCCAAATTTAACCCTATACAATAATCATTTGAAGAATCAAGAAATGAGAGTTTTTAGAGCATCTGCTTCATTTCCAAACTTGTGGAGATGAAGAATCTTGTTTGTTATCAGAAATCTATCATATATATGTGTGTATGTGAGTTTCCCTACGCCCGTTATTTACAACAAACTACATTATTTTACTATGGTTACCTAATATTATTAAGATGTATATACACATCAATTAATCATGGTTAAGTACTAACAAAATTGTGCAGGCAGAAGAGACATGCCACCCTCTTCAAGTTGGGCGGTAGGAAGGGGGTGTCAATTGATACTCATTCACCGGAAATTAAACTGCGCAGCCTGATAATAATTTTTTTTTTTATGTATGATTCCCTTTGATTTATTCGTGGGTTTACTTCTTTATATTTTAATCCTCTTAATGAAAATTTTGGTTACGCACGACACCATCCATTTAACCAAGTCAACAAAACAACTGTAATGGGGTTCAGAAAGAGAGTTCTGGTAAGTAAGTCAAGAGGCTGATATTTGGTGGAAATATGAGATTGAGAAATTGGACTTTGCATAAGCTGCTTGAGTAAAAAATTGCAATGCAGATCTTTATCTGTATAAAAGGTGGCGTTTTCTAGTCCACTACATAGAAAAATGGAAATGGTTTTTCGGAAGAGAGTTTTACATTCCTATGCCACATAAGAAACCTTATTACCCTTAATGTTTAAGGTTTCACTTAATTACACTTAGTATACCAAATTACCAATTCTATACCATAATTAATTAAGGGTATAATTAATTATATATTTTTTACTCCTTAATTAAAGGAAGCTGCACGTTTCTCTCTCCTAACCCCTCAGTCCCACCCACGTTTTACCCATACCCACGTTCTTTTTACCATTTTCCATCTTCTGAAACCAAATTCTCCCTCTAAATTCACAGAAAATTGAAGAAACCCTTCAACAAAGTTGGTTCCCCATTTTACTCCAGTTGAAGTTCATCAATGAAGAACAACAAAGTTCATCAAAATTGAAGTCAAATCTTCAAAGTTCATACACACATTTACCTTCAGCTTCAAATTTTCTCAATGAAGAAGAACAAACCTTCAAAGAGACAAGAGAGCACCAATTCCACTATTGACAGCCATTAAAAAGCTTTGAAGCTTTGAATTCAAATTTGGGTTTTTAAAATTCATTATTTATTTTGATTGGGTGTTGTTGAAAATAATTGGGAATATATTTTGGAGTTTATATCTCAATTTTGAGGGATTTTGGTGAAGATTAGACTTGGTTTTGACTGAAATTCAGATTGAAACTCGAAGAAGAAGAAGAAGAAGAAGACATATTGCAGAAACTGTAGATAAATTGTAGACTGTTTTTTGCAGAAGATTTTGTAGAAGTTTTAGTCGTTTTGAATTTGTGAAAACAGAAAACAATGCATCTACAATCAGAATATAAATAATCTACAATTTATCTACATAATATCTACAAACTGGATACATTGAATTTTAATATCCCAATTCTCATTTCAATTGTAGCATAATTGGCATTTTCGACATAATTGCGTTTTTTGCAGAAGATTTGTAGAAGTTTTAGTCGTTTTTGATTTGTGAAAACAGAAAACAAAGCACCTACAATTAGAAAACAAATAATCTACAATTTATCTACAAAATATCTACAAACTGGGTACATTGAATTTTATATCCCAATTCCCATCCAATTGTAGTATAATTGTGATTTTTGACATAATTACGTTTTTTCAGAAGATTTGTAGAAGTTTTAGCCGTTTTTTATTTGTGAAAACAGAAAATAAAGCATCTACAATCAGAATACAAATAATCTACAATTTATCTATAATTTATCTACAATTTCTGCAATATGTCTTCTTCTTCTTCGAGTTTCAATCTGAATTTCAGTCAAAACCAAGTCTAATCTTCACCAAAACCCCTCAAAATTGAGATATAAACTCCAAACCATATTCCCGATTATTTTCAACAACACCCAATCCAAACAAATAATGTTTTTTGAAAACCCAAATTTGAATTCAAAGCTTTCAAGCT